CACCTACCATTTGTCTCTGTAGGTTAGCAATTGCAGCAGCAAATTCCTTCATCCAAATTCCTCGGGTTGGTTTGGTGGTGAAGGGGGGAACATATTCCTCCCCATAATTTTCCAGTTGAAGGGGTTATTCACGCCAGAACTGTTTCACCCCAAAATCTGTGACTGCCTCTGTTTGTTTTTTAAATGTATCAATAAATTTTAACATACTGCAACTTCAGTTCAATTTGAGGCTTTTGCTTTAACCCTCTTATTTCATATTCCACTCAGTTTTTAAAAACTTGTGTTTTGTTGTTCTTTAACATTAGGTTGTTTTGGTTTTAGGGTTGCCTGCTGCCAAGATGCAGGTGTTATAAATAAATTGATTTGCTATAATGTGTGTCCTCTAGTCCATTATTCCTACTGAATGGATGTTTGAGACCAGGGCTGCTGTCGTAGGGAAGGGCCGTCGCTCTGGTACAGCCCCTGCTTTGCACACAGAAGGTCCCGGGTTCACATTCCGACATCTCCAGTCAAGGCTGGAATAATTCCCACCTGGAACCCCGGAGATGCCTGCTACCATCCGTGTCACAGCCTGGACTACATGGACCGGGGGCCTGACTCGGCAGAAAGACAACTTCCTACATTTCTGTAAGTGGGGCCAGGCCTACCCTGCAAGGCCAGCAAGAGAGAAATCTGATCCAGGGTAGCACTGTAGATCCCTGATTGATTGATTGAATACTCATCTCTGTGCAGTTTAAAGTCAAAAAATTAACACCCTGTAATGACACCCAGGGGTGGGTGATCCCTCAAAGCTTCTCCTGATGCTTTCTAAGCACCAAGGGCCATCTTAATGAATTCTCAATTAACTGCGGGTTCTTTAATGAATTAAAGTCTTTAATGAATTAACTGGGTTCTTTAATGTAGGTGTGGGGGGGGGGGGGAATTCAGACAAATCCTAGTAGGAGGAGGTTGTTTCTATGTGCCTTTGTGTTATAAGATCACACCTACAACATCTCTGCGCCTCTTTCTCAAAGTACCAGAATCCCAGGCCAGGCTTCTGTTTAGTGTAGTTTTCAAGCTGTTCCTTTTAAGAGATGGCGACTACCTTTGGTTGGAAAAGCCTTTGCAGGACGGGGCTCCCAAGGAAAGCTAAGCCCTGGCTATTCTTGGGCTTGTTGCTAGTCCTGTCCAACCCATCACAACCCCATGGACAACATTCCTCTAAGACTTCCTGTCCTCCACCATCCCCAGGAGTCCACTTAAGCTCACGCCGACTGCTTCAGTGACCCCATCCAACCACCTCATCCTCTGCCATCCCTTCTTTTGCTGTCAATTGCACCCAGCATTAGGGTCTGCTCCAGTGAGTTCTTCCTTATCATTAGGTGGCCAAAGTATTTGAGTTTCATCTTCAGTATCAGGCCTTCTAAAGAGCAGTCAGGGTTGATCTCCTCTAGGACTGACTGGTTTGATCTCTTTGCAGCCCAAGGAACTCGCAGGAGTCTCCGCCAGCACAATTCAAAGGCCTCAGTTCTTCGGCGCTCAGCCTTCCTTATGGTCCAGCTTTCACAGCCATACATTGCAACTGGGAAAACCGTAGCCTTGACTATATGCACTTTTGTTGGCAGGGTGATGTCTCTGCTTTTTAGTATGCTGTCTAGATTTGCCATAGCTTTACTCCCCAGGAGCAAGCGTCTTTTAATTTCTTGGCTGCAGTCCCCTTCTGCGGTGATCTTGGAGCCCAGGAAAATAAAATCTGTCCCTATCTCCATTTCTTCCCCATCTATCTGCCAGGAAGTGAGAGGACTGGATGCCATGATCTTAGTTTTCTTGATGTTGAGTTTCAAGCCAACTTTGTGCTCTCCTCTTTCACCTGCATCAAGAGGCTCTTCAGTTCCTCTTCACTTTCTGCCATTAGAGTGGTATCATCTGCATATTTGACAAAACATGATCCACTGGAGAAGGAAATGGCAACCCACTCCAGTATCCTTGCCATGAAAACCCCATGGACAATTCTTAGGCTAACAGCTAACAAAACTGATAAGGCACCAGACAAGCTTTTCTAGCACTATTGCAATCACCCTCATTTGCATGCCAAAAGCCACCATAATCCCTGTGCCTCAGTGATTATGTTAATCCCTTGTAATCAAAGCTATTGTATTAAGTCTCTGTAGATCTCACATTCTTTTTCACTGTGTTCCCCTTATTTTGTCATCACCTGATCAGCTGCTATGCCATGTGACTCAGAATCCATAAAATACTCTGTGTATGTTCTAAAAGCTTGTACTTGGCAGTGCAGACCATTGCCCGGTAGCATGCTGTTGTAAGTAACCGGGCCTGGGTGGTCTCACCCATAAGTGTAAGGAGACTGAAACAGGCTTAACCTGTGGCAGCTAGGCTGCACATCTTGAGACTACCCCTGATCCAGCCAATCAGGGGTTGCCTGTTCAAAATGGCAGTGGCGTACACTGGTCATGCCATCCAGCATAACTTGATTAATTCACAATCTGCCACCTCTGTGTGCTAACAGTGGTGTCCAGGACTGGCACACTATTTGGAGTGAGGTCTGACCAGCGTATAGTCCAGTGGAGCGATTATTTTTCTTCCCCAAGATCAAGATTTAGCATGCATTTGAGGTATCTCTGAAAGGATCTCCTGCTTGGATTGTTTAAGCCTTTAGGAGGACAAAACCCACTCCCTTCCCTTCATCATCTCTCCTGGCTGCCTTTGCTCCCAACAACCGGTAGGACAAATGGCCACTGAAAGCCTCAGGCTCAAGAATTTGGATCAAAATTGGCACCTTTTTAAAGAAGTTTAATTACCATGGAAGGGGCATTTAGGAGGGTACAGGAGGCCCTGAAGTGTTGGACTGGGACCTGGAAGATCCAGATGTTAGTGCACCCTCGGCCACGGAGCTCACTGCGTGACTTTGAGCCAGTCACGAACTCTCAGCCCAGCCTACCACACAGGGTTGTTGATGTGAGGAAAGTGAAGAGGAGGGGGAACCATGTAATCCACCTTGGGTTCCTTGCAAGAGGAAGAAAGGTGGGATTGAACTATAATCATAATCATAGGATTGTTTCACCAGTTCAATTGTTTCACCAGTTCCTAGTCACTGTGGCATGGTGGTGAGAGCATTGGACTGGGAGATCTGGGTCCCAGTTCTTTAAACCAGTCTCTCCATCTCAGGCTAGGCTAGCCTAGCTCGCGGGGGTGCTGATGTGAGGATAAACTGGAGAGGCCAATGACCTTGTAAGCTGAATTGCGTTTGTTGCAAGAGGGAGAAAGGTATCAATCCCCTTGAAAATTCCCTCATTTCGGCAGTTAGTTTCAGGAATAAGCCTTCCATTAGTACCAGTGGACACTGAGGACCAGATCACGAGCCCTAGGAAAATAAATCTGGGGTTGGAGCCCTGCGGCCTGAGCCTTGCAACGCCTCTGCATTGTGTCCCCACCCCAATATCTGCCCTCGACCAGCCATTTCACTTCAGTGAGGGGGGAAAATCGCTCCACTTTTCCCACCTGCTGCTCGCATCTACTCCGAGGAGAACAAAGAAAAGGATCAAAGAGAGACGGGAGTTAAATGGCTGCTTTAGAAGGCTCCCCGCGTGAGGTGACGTTCTAACCGGAACCGGAAGTTAGGAAGCAGGTGACTCTACTCGTTCATCACCATGGTGACCGCTGAAGAAACCTTTCATTAACCAAGAGATAGAAAAATACAGAGGGACCCTCAGCCAATACTAATACTTTTCATTAAAATCATAAAACGCACGGCTGACCATGATTCCCTATCACCGTGACTTAATTGCATTCCATGCATGAATTAATTTTCAGTGCACATATCACCCATCAACTGACATTCTATGGAAGGGTTAAACAGGAACATATTTTAAAAAATCACTCCCCCCCCCAAAGAAAAGAAAAGACCCAGTTCATTTTATTTTTTGCAGAGGGGTCGTGGTAGGGCCGCGGCTCCCCAGTCACAGCTACCTTAAAATGCCGAATTCCTTCATTGATGTTTATCGGGGAGGCATACGGCTTCCCAAGAAACCTGCGATGTCCCTATGCGAGCCGTGGGACGTGTCACTCTCCCGTTTTCTCATCTCTGTGGTTGGTGCCCCAGCCCCCCGGGAAAGGGGCGAGTGACCTTCCCGGCTCGGCCGTGTCCGGCGGGGCGCAAGGGGTAGAAAGGCTCGGCAGGTCCCCCGTGCAGGAGGTGAGTGGAAACGGGGGCGGGAAGAGGGAAACCTGCTTGGGAAGAAGGAGGTGGGTCGGTGGGAGGAAATGCAAGCCCCCACCCCGCGTTTCCCTGTAGGGGTCCGTCTGCAAGGGGTTTGTGGATGCATTCGTTCATTTATCCATCTATCGCATTTGTATGCTGCCCCATAGCCAAACGCTTTCCGGGCGTCTCACCATCTGCAATATAAAAATATTTAAAATACGGATCAAAAGAAATAACAATCAGAAATAAAGCCATAAAACAGTAGCATTCAAATGCATTAAAAATACAACCATATACATGGGAGACAGGAGGGAAATAGGACAATATGATCAATAACAATAACCTGCAAAACGGTCAACAATAAACCAGCAACAAACCAATAATCCCATCTAAAAACAGATGCTGAATAAAAAAAAGTCTTGACTTGGCGTCGAAGGCAAGATAAAGTGGGGCCAGTCGCACCTCCCTTGGAAGAGAATTTGGGGTTTGCCCCTTTATTTTTAAGGCTGGGAAAACGGAGAATTTGGGCTGCCTTGACAAAGGTGTTTCTATTATGCTGGGTGTGGAGAGAGAGGTGAGCGGAGCATTTTTTCTCCCTCTCTCTCATACTCCCCGAACCCAAAGGGGTCACCCCATGGAGCTGATGGGCGGAAGATGCCGGGCAGATCAAAGGGTCTTTGCAAGGTGCATAGTTAAGCTCTGGGATTGCAAAGCCGGAATTGCTGGCCTTCCATTCCACCAGATGGCATGAAGGTTACCAATTGGGACGGCTTGAAAAGGGGATTGGACCAACACGTATCCATAGTTACTAGTCCTCATGGCCACATGCTTCCTCCAGGATCAGAGACAGTAAGCGTGCGTACACCAGTTGCTGGGGAACATGGGCAAGAGGGTGCTGTTGCGCTGTTGTCCGGTGGGCCAGGGGTGTTCAAGCTTTTCAGCCTGGTGGGCCACATTATTTATTTATTTATTTATTTACTAAAACGTTTTTATGCTGCCCCATTCGCCGAAGCCTCAGGGCGGCTTACAACAATAAATAAAACCAATAAGTTAAAATATACATATAAAATAATCATAATAATTTAAAACACACAATATAAAATAAGCCGCCCTGGCCAGATAGAGAAGCTTTTGGGGTCAAAGTGGCAAAGCCCAGAATATAGCAAGGATGGCGAGTGGACGAGCGGAGAAGTGGAGCAGTGAAGGGTGTTTCTGGTGTAGGCCTTGTGGGTAGCTCCGTGGGGACCGATGGTGAGGGAGACGTATTTTCTTCCCGTCCCGTGAAACTAGATCCCGAAGGACTCCTTCCTTGAAGATGATGGGTGGGAGAGTCAGAAGAGACCCAAGGAAGGATTTCAGATAAATTATGGCATTGATGGCCAGCACTTTGGATGACTTCAAAAGAAGATTGGAGAACTATGGGAGTGGAAGTTATTTATGGCTGATAGCCCTGATGCCTCTATGTTATGTCCAGTATTCGAAACACAATGCCAGGGTAATTTAGTGGCTGGGGAACATGGGTGAAATGGTGCATTAGCACTCATTCCTTGCTTTTTTAAAAGTTTTATTATTTAAAGTTTTATTATTATTATTTTCTACAAACTAAAAAAAAGAAACTAAAACATCAGTCATCAAAGACATCAGACCTACTGGGTCAGCCCCCCATTTTTTTTATAGCAATCCGTAGACATATTCAAATTTATGCATAGTCATATTTCTCTAGCCAATAATAAAAAGAGTTCCAAGTTTGATAGAAGTATGTATCCTCTTTCTCCTTCAGAGACAAAGGCAGCCTATCCATTTCAGTGCAGTCCAGAATCTTTTTTAAAATCAGTTCATCAGTGGGTGGTTCTTCACTCCTCCAATGCTGGGCAAATACAATCCTTGCTGCAATAATTATGTGTAGAATCAAATACATTGCTTATCAACATCATCAGACACAATGCCTAATAAAAAAGACTTCAGGTTTAAATATTAAAGATTTTTGTAACATTTCCTCAAGCCATTTATGTATTTTAGCCCAATATTTTTTTACCTTATCACAAGTTCACCACATATGATAAAAAGTACCAGGTTTATGTTTGCATTTCCAACATCCATTTGACATATTTGGAAACATTTTTGCTAGTCTGTTTGGCAATAAGTACCATCTATAAAACATTTTATACAGATTTTCTTTATATGAGGTTGCTAAGATTACCTTGATATTTCTTTCCCACAACTTTTGCCATTTCTATAACTCAATATTATATCCAAAATTTTGTGCCCATGTTATCATAGTTTCCTTAGCTTGTTCATCTTCCATTCTCATATCCAAAAGAAAATTATACTGTCTTTTAATCATTTTTTCATCTGATTTTAAGATCACTTGGTCAAATGTTGTGAATTCCTTATAAACACCCCACATTTTATAATCTTTAACATATCTCAATTGTATTTGCGCCTTATGCCACCAAGAGATATCAATACCCTGCTCTTGTAACTCTTGGTTCGGTTTCAATCCTCCATCATTATTCAAAATATCATTTTATGTCACAATCATATCAAAATGCAATGCGTTTGGATATACAAGGCCTCTAACATATGCTTTAGCTGTGTCCCAAACATTTTGCAAAGAGGTTTCTTCAGCTTTATTTACTTGAAAGAAAAAATTTAATTCCTTGGTTATTTCTTCTTTGAAATTTTTATCTTTTAATAAAGATTTATTAAATACCCATCTGGGTGTTTTTTTTTTTTTGTCCCTTTCAGGGTCATGGTTGCAGGTTATGACATTTGTATCTGTTTCAGCTTCTAACAAGTCTGGAGCTAGGTCTGAAGCACTCATTCCTTGCTTGTGGGGTCCTATGAGTGGCTGGGGGTGCTCTGTGAGCAAAATCCTGAACTAAAAGGGACCTTTTCTGATCCAGGAGGGCTTCTCTGATATTCTCATGTCCTTGCCCCTCCTGATTTTTATATGATGTTTTAATTACTTTGCTTTTTAGCTGGGGGGCTGGTTTGCTGCAAAGCAAAGAGCTCTCTGCTGGCCCCCTCTTCTGATGTTCCAAAGCATGTTTTTATGTTTCGGGGCTTGGATCCGTACCCCTGCCTTGTGTTTCAATCCCCTGCCTTGGCACTCACCAGCCTGAAAAGCTTTGGGGTGCTCATGCTGTCTGTCCCTCTTTCAGCCCCTTTGCTTCTATTCTGGTTTCCAAGGAAGGAAATTTTCTTCCTCAGTGACTAGTGTGACTGTCAAGTGGACCAGGAGTGCTAAACGAGCATATGCCATCTCTGTTCTGGCCAAGATGGACAGAGAACCGCTTCTGTTGCCAGTATTTTCAACCAGACGATTCTCTTGCCTGCATGGATTGCTCAAAAGAAATGAGTACAGAGACATGAAATTAAAAAGCTGCTCTGTTCATTTATTTATTTGTAGACATTACTTGTTCAATTTGACATGAGCGAACAATGACATAAATATGAGCCAACAATTCGATGCAGCCACCAAAAGGGCAAATGCTCTTTTGGGATGCATTATTACTTTCAAATCACAAGAAGCAGGAGTTTCCCCATACTTCTCACTCATCAGACCTCATTTGGAATACAGTGTCCAGTTCTGGGCACCAAGGTTTAAGAAAGATGCAGGTAAATTAGGAAGAGTCCCAAGGAGGGCAAAAAAATGATCCAGGGTTTGGAAACACTGCCCTGTGAGGAGAGAACTGGGCATGTTCAGCCTTGGGAAGAGGGGGAGATGAGACATGATATCCCCTATATATGTACCTCAAAGGCTGTCACAAAGAGGAAGGTCAAAGCCCCTTCTTGCTAACACCAGAGTGTGATACTAAAGTTGTGACAACCCAGATTTAGGCTAGATATTAGGGAAAGTTTCCTTACTGTCAAAGCAATACAGCAGTGGAACCAGTTTCCTGGAGAGGTGGTGGGCTCTCCCACACTAGAGACATTCCAAAAGAAATTGGAAAAGCATCTGAGTGGGATGGTATAAATTGGTGTCCTGAAACAGCAGGCCTGATGGTCTTCATGGCCCGTTCCAACTCTTCTATGATTTTATGACATTTCCACCCGTACTGCAAGGAACTAGTTGCATTGCAGCCTGAACATCTCCTGGTGGGTCTTGAAATTGGGGGTAATGTACATTAATGGAAATAAGTTGTTGTTCTTGTTCTATTATTATTTCATTGAATTTCTATACCACCCATAACCAAAGCTCTCTGGGCAGTTCACAGCATTCGGGTAACCCATCCAGATTTCAACCAGGCCCAACTCTGCTTAGCTTCCAGGATTAAGCAGGATCAGGCACTTCAGGCTATATGGAAGATGGACAAAATTGCCAAGATACTAATTTGCAGTCTTTTAAAAAGTACCTGTGACTTTGCTCTTCAGCTTTGCTCGAGTTTCTGTTTGGAATGAAGGCTGCATGGAGGAAGGCAGGGAAGAAAGCAGTGGTGTGAACATCAGTCTAAATGTGACGGAGTCTGCAATGCCATATGGCAAGGATGGGAAACTCCAGGCCTGTGGGTTGAATCTGGCCCACTGGTTTTCCCCAGGTGGCTGAACCTAGTGACCAGCGATCATTTGGTCTTTAGTCTGAAGTCTTTCCCCCATTCTGAAAGGTGGAAATGCCTCCCTTAAGACTTAGCAGGAACAGCTTTGAACTAAAAGAGGCTGGCACATTTTCCTTTTGTCTTTGGCTGCTGACAGGGACGGGGCGTTATGTTCACATGACTCCAGTCCTCCGTCAGCTTCACTGGCTTCCCATTGAAGTCCGGGCCCAATTCAAGATGTTGGTTATGACCTATAAGCCCTAAACGGCTTGGGTCCTGGTTACCTGAAGGAGTGCTTACATCCATATATGCCCGGCCGCCCCTTGAGATCTGCGGGAGAGGCCCTTCTCTGGGAACCCTCCGTGAAAGAAATTAGGAGGGTGGGTACTCGGAGGAGGGGTTTCTCTGCGGCGGCGCCCAATCTATGGAATGCGCTCCCCAGAGAGGTCCGCCTGGCGCCGTCGTTACTTGTTTTTCGGCGCCAGGTGAAGACCTTTTTATTTAAACGTCACTTTAATTGTTAACAAAATTTGCTTATTTATCTGGCCAGGGCGACTTCTTTTCTTTTCTTTTATAACTTCTTTTATATCTTTTATATTTTTTATTTATTTTATATTGTTAATTTTAATTTTATATTGTTATTTTTGTATTGTATTGTATTGTGTTGTATTGTGTTGTAAGCCGCCCCAAGGCTTCGGCAAGAGGCAGCATAGAAATGTTCTAATGATAATAATAATAATAATAATAATAATAATAATAATAATAATAATACCACCACTGGACTGCCCAGGGTTTCCCTGAAATTAAGTTTGGCCTTGGAGCTAATAGAGGTTGCCCGTGTGAACTATGCCGATCTTTCCCTCTTCCTCCCTGCTGGAAACACATGGGCATTTCTTGAATGAACAGTTTGAAACAGACTCATGAAGCTGGATCATGGAGGAGAAAGACGCAGTGGCCAGGCTTATATAGGGGACAATCCACCATGGTTCCCACCGCTGAGTGGTCTGTCGCATTGTCGGAACCCTGTGGTGGTCTTGTGGTGCAGTATGTTTGGTTTCTGTGGAACCACGGAGAGAAACAGTGGCCTGTTCGTTGGTTCCCACACTTCACCATGGTGACATAGGCAGGACCTGTGCACTCTGGGATTGAATTTCAGCCCCGGAGGCTGATGGGATACGTGGCACCAGCAGGAGGACTGAGGCGGGAGGATGGAAACCATGCACATGTAGACACCAGGTGATCGTCTGACAGCCTTATCCACGTACGAAACCACAGCATGCAGAAACCACAGCATGCTTTACTGTTATGTGTGGATGCGCCCACGGTGTGTCAAAGGGGAATGTCTTGACATCTGTCTCTCCTGCAGAAAGTGGAATGGCGTTGGCCCCGTGCTCTAGATCATCTCTTCTCTGGAGTCAGTTGGAAGCCCCTGTGATGCCACCTGCTCAGGTAAGGAGGCAGATCTCCAAGGAGGCACGCCAGGTGAATGGATGTGTCTCCTTATCCTTTGTGATGGGCCTTGAACCTGTTCCTGGTTCTGCAGGACAGCCAGCGGCTGCCCAATCAGACCTTTTCTCCTGCAGGGAGGACTGGAAGGAGTTTCAGTATCCAAATGTTGTCCACTGACCATTTATGGAAATGTGACTTTCCATATTGTCGACATCGGAAGAGCTGTGCTGGATCAGATCGGGGGGCATCTAGTCCAGCATCCTGTTCACCCAGTTGCCCTTTGGAGACCCACAAGCAGGATATGGGTCCTGCCCAGGTTCCCCAGCAGCTGGTGTACACAGGTACACTGCCTCTGATACTGGAGGTGGCATTCCGGAAGACAACTCTGCCCAAAGTCTTTGGGTCCTGTCGGAAAGTATCTTGTAACACCGAACTGAAGGTGGCCTTTTGAAGGTGGGTGCTATGATTGACAGAGAAAGAACATTTTCCTCTTTCAGGGTCTCGTGACGTTTGAGGAGGTGGCTGTGTATTTCTCCGAGGAGGAGTGGACCCTGCTGGATGCGGACCAAAGGGAGCTGCACAGAGAAGTCATGGAGGAGAATTACAGGATTGTTGCTTTCGTAGGTACGGTATCAACATCTGGCTCTGTATGGATAGGAGCCGAATCGTCCAGATCAGGGGTGTGGAACCTCTTTCTTCCTGAGGGCCACATGCAGTGTTATAGAAGGCCTCTGGGGCTGCACTCCAGCTGTGGAAATGGCCACGGGCAGAGGGGGTGGGATCAAAATACCAGCCATTTCTACCTTGTAGAACGGGAGGAATCTGCACAAATGCCAGAAATCTCCAAACACAGCAGTTGGGCAAAGTGGGGTGGGAGGCACGGCCCTTGCAGAATATCTGGTGGCTGGACTGAGGCTCCATGAGGGCCGGACTGGGACTCCCGGACTGCAGTTCCCCACCCCAATCTAGATGGACATCTGTTCTGATAGATACCTGAGAACCCATGTGATGGGGACCTGGGAAAGCCGGTTCTAGGTGCCACTCAGGCCTGAAGCTCCCTGAGTGACTTGGGGCCAGTCACTCCCTCTCACCCTAGCCCACCTCACAGGGTTGTTGTGGTGAGGATAAAATAGAAGCAGTCTTGGGTTGATCCCAAGAGGAAATGGGCCGGATATAAATGCAATGTAATATTACTAGCAAGAGCGTTCTGGTCATATGGAAAAGTCAGGACTCCCCCATGGAAATTGGTCTCTTGGGCACATCTTTAGAATCCCTTCCTTATTCACTGACTCTTTCAGGGCCTGGCATACAGGGCTGACTGGTGGGGCAGCTGCCGGGGGTCCGTGGCTCACCAGGGAGCCTCCCACGGCCTGCTCCTTTTCCTCCCCATTTCTCCTGCTCACCCACCCACCTCTGGTCTTTTGCTCATAGGGTGTAAACAAGCAGACAAGCAAGCAGCCGCGTGAAGAACCTGTAGTACCTCTGTCAAGAGTCAGGACTTCTCCTTCATGCACTCAAAAGCCACAAACCGTTTTCCTTGCAAGGAGTCCTTTATTGACCCAAAAGCACAAAAAACTCAGAATGGATCTCTGGGCATACACAGAGCGGTTTGTTGAACCAATCACCTTGGTTATTCCCAGAGATTATATGTGTCTCCGCTTCTCTCATCTCATTGTCCTGGCTTGGCCCCCATTCCCAGGCTTCCCCCTGTTTCACTTCGCATTCCAATTCCAAATCCTCAAACCAGGAGAATGAGTGCCCAAAGCAGCCCTCTGTCTCACTCCCAACAGCCTCCTTGCAACTATTTCAGTGTTCCATTACTAACTTGGGCCTTTTTTCCCAGCTGGAAATGGACAGAGCAGTGAAGATTCAGGGAAGTTCTCTGGGATGTCTGTGGAAATTATCAAGAAAGAAGTGGAGGAAAAGGACCCAGAGGAGTGGAGGAGGCAAGGAGAAAATCCAAGAATCATACATGAAATTCCAGCTCAGAGAACATATGTTGAAGAGAAGCCATCTGAGGGTTTGATGTGTGGAAACCAACTCAGTCAGAACGCAAACCTTATTTCTCATCAGAAAACCCATATAGGGGAGAAAGAACTCAAGTGTGTAGAATTTGGAAAGGGTTTCGGTCAAAGTATGCCCCAAACTTCACTTCAATCAATTTGCACCACAAAAAAGCCACGTAAATGCCTGGAATGTGGGAAAAGCTTCAGTCGGAGCACAAACCTTACTAAACACCTAAGAACTCACACAGGAGAAAAACCCTTTAAATGTCTGGAGTGTGGGAAAAGCTTCAGTCAGAGCTCAAACCTAATTTCCCATCAAATAATTCACACAGGGGAAAAGCCATTTCAGTGCCTGGAATGTGGAAAGAGCTTCAGTCAAAGCACAAACCTTAATAAGCATGGAAGAGTTCACACGGGGAAGAAACCTTTTAAATGCCTAGAATGTGGGAAGACCTTTAGTCAGAGTTCAGACCTTATTTCTCATCGAAGAATCCACACAGGGGAGAAGCCATTTAAATGTCTTGAGTGTGGGATGAGCTTCATTCAGAGCACAGCCCTTACGAAACATGAGAAAATTCACACAGGGGAGAAACCATATGCCTGTCTAGTGTGTGGCAAGAGCTTCAGCTGGAGAAAAAACCTTACTTCACATCAGAGGATCCACACAGGAGAGAAACCCTATAAGTGCCTGGTGTGTGGGAAGGGCTTCCATCAGAGCACTAATCTTAATAAGCATGAACGAATTCACACAGGAGAGAGACCTTATAAATGCCTAGAATGTGGAAAAACTTTTACTGTAAGCACAAGCCTTACTTCACATCAAAGAATACACACAGGAGAGAAACTATATAAATGCCTGGAGTGTGGAAAGAGCTTCACTCGAAGTTCCAACCTTAACCAACATGAAAGAATTCACACAGGGGAGAAACCATATGCATGCCTGGAGTGTGGAAAACGCTTCAGTTGCAGCGCATACCTTACAGTGCATCGAAGAATTCACACACGGGAAAACCGTATCGGTCCTTGGAATGTGGAAAAGGTTTTGGTCAGTACTCAGCCCTTGTTTCCCATCAGTATGTTCACACAGGGGGAGACTGTATAAGATTCCTGAGTTGTGAGAAGCAATTCAGTAAGAGAAAAAAACCTCAGTTCCATCTGAGAATTATCATGGAACAGACACTATACATTCCCTTTGTGTGTGCGCAACACTTTTCCTTTATCAGGGAAGACACATTGTGGTGACGTTATAAAATACTCGGAGAGTTTTGCAGTAGAAAGTTTTGTAGTGCAAGTCAAAGCTGTTCACACAGCCAGTGATTCGCACGAGGGAGGGGATGTGTAGAAGGGAGATGACAAGAAAAAAATTCAGTGGCTGTTTGTAAGCCAAAAAAAAAATCTGGAAGACGCATCATCCTTATTACTGGCTATACAAACTAGGGCAGACTGGAGTGGCAGGAAAAGCATCTACAGGTTCACAAATGACCCACTCCTCGCTTAAGCCTTAACAGACATCAGGAGAAAAACCCCACAAGTACTGACCTACCTTTTTGGCTGGTGTGGCTGCAAAGATGGTTTGCCATTTTTGGCCACCTCCGCAGGGTAGCTGCCACACACAAGTTACCCTGTTTTCACATGGTGCGTTGGTCCTGGGCCACAGCATTCACGTTGCTGAAGGCAAGGATGTCTAGGTCGGGCCTGTTCTTGGTCGGGCCTGGTCACACCACACAGCTTGCTTGAGTTTCACACTAGAGAAAAGGTGGGGTGCAAATATCATGATCCCTCTCTTATAGACATAAGTTCAAAAGACAAAAATGCCCAACAAAAATGTCAGCAGTACAGCAGTGGAACCAGCTGCCTGGAGAGGTGGTGGGCTCTCCCACACTAGAGACATTCAGAAAGAAGCTGGACAGCCATCTGAGTGGGATGGTGTAACGTGATGTTGTGCGACTGCAGGAGGTTGGACCCAACGGCCTTCATGGCGCCTTCCAACTCTACTGTTCTGTGATTCTATGACCTGGAAGGCCAACCTCAAAGTCATTTGCCTTGGTATGCGAGTAGAAAAGGCTGAGATAACACCGAGATGTATCTTATTGGGGGAGAGCCCTGCTTCTCTCCTCTCTGTGCCCCAGAATGGCCGTGAACTTCTGGTTCCAAGGTCGACCTTCCAACTTCGGACTCTCAACGCAGAAAGAATCAGTGGCTCCAGCTGCGTGGGTGGAGGGGTGACATGGGAACACGTTTCTGAAGTTAGAGCTGGCATGCCAACTGCTGTAGCCTGCTAGACTCTGTCTAACAGCTGCAGGATTGCATCCTTCATGCTTGTTGGAATGCAGCTGCGGAAGAATAGCCAAACTTCAGCATCAGCCGTCCTCAATCTACATGCGTGTCCTTGGTGCCCGTCTCGACCTGCTTTGCCCTCACGGGGTCAAATCACTCAAAAAGTTGTAAAAAAAAAAAAAATGGACACAAGCCAATTTGTGGAGATGACTTTTGTGTGGGGACTGAAGCCATTCTCCAATGTATCCTTGGGTCCTTGGCATCAGAAGTTGCAAAATATGCAAAGATCCATAACTGGAAATAATATTTTTCATAGGAAACGGATGTTTTTCTATCCAGTCTCCACTTCCCCCTTCTCCCTCAGCACAGAATAACCAACACGGTGTCAGTTCCTTTCCAAAGCTAGGATTTTTATTTTTGGTTTGAGACAAGTTTAAACCCCCAGTGCTGGGTACTGCTACCGTAAGAGGCCAAGGTTGGATTTGCTATTAAATAACATTGCTATTTAATTTGCAAAGTTTGTGGAACTGCAGGACACTTTTCTAATTCTTCATACAAATGTGCCCAGTGAGGTCAGTGTTCCCCAATGAAATCCCATGGTTTGTGCCAGTCCTATGGAGAGTCTATTTGCCTGGTCAGTAGGTGGCAAAATTGTATATGGAGACATTTTTAATCCTCAGTATGTTATATTGGTTGGGGATGTAAAAACACCCTTCAAAGGGAGAACTGAGAACTCCTCTTTTATGACCTGGGTGAATTCCTGTTTCCAGAAGGGAAAGAAAAATGGGTGAAATTTGGGGATGTTACACAAGTGATGTCATGGAAAGGTCATCTCGTAGACCTCCTTCTGAGTAAATCCTGCAATGAAAATGCATTTGGGCTACCTATGTGGCCCCACTGCCTTGGCGTTTTACCCCATTGTGACCTTTAAGTCAAACAATTTAAATCACCATCTCCAGGTAATACCATCTCGTGGTACCTCTTGTGGTTAAGTTTGGTCTTCAGAAAGCATGATAAGAAACCATGGTTTATTCCATGGTTTCTCTGTATCACCATGGCTTGTTGTGTTGCCTGAACCTGGAATCATGGTTTCCACAATCCTGGTATGCAACGACCATAGAGTCCCCTGGAAAGAGCAGCAGCTCCAGGAACCACTCCAGGCATCCAGCCTGTATGTGTGGACCAATGATGAGAAGGTAGGCGGTGTAGGCAGGGAGTGATGCAACTTGGGATTGGATTTCAGGTACAGTGGTTGATGGGACATGTGCCAAGAGCAGGAGGAGTGAGTGGAGTGGATGGAAACCATGACAAAGTAGAAACTACAGTAATACCCTGGTTCATGAATGCTTCTGTTTGCGAACAATTCGGTTCGCAAAAAGAAAGTTTGGCAAAATTTCGCACCCGTTTGCGAACTCCGCATCAGATGACAAACACAACCACTGCCATCTTCCCCACATGAACATGAATGCGGCCATCTTTCCCACTCTGACACACGATTGTGGCTTCCTCTAGTTGAGATTGCGGCCGCAGACAGACCTGTGCATACTTGCTGTGAAGCTTTTTGGTGTGCTTTTTAGCATATACAGCACAGTACATTAATATTCAATCCAGCATGGCTCCAAAGAACATGCAGAGCGGTAATGAAGGTAACCAGAATGTGCAGAGCAAGAACAGATTAACCTTATTTACACTGAACCTTATGGGGAAATTTGATTCGGTTTGCGACCAGAATCATGGAACGAAATAAGTTCGTGAACCGAGGTACCACTGTACTTGTCCGACTGTTGGACAGCAAAAAGCCATGTATCATGGTAACCATGCAGGTTTGCTTGTTATGTTGTGTGAACGCAGCTTCACTGTCTCTCCCTTGTTGACCATTGAAAGATCATTCCTGCATTTCTGAAAGCAAACTGACTGTAATGTATAAGGTGCACTGATTTGCAGAAAGCCCATCTTAAATCTGCTGGGAACGAGAAAGCGTGGAAGAAACCACAACTGAAGAAAGAAAGTTAAGAAAGAAAGCTCTCTTTGCAATGTAGACAACGGGGGTTTGGTTTTTTTTACAAGCCTGATTTCAACAGGAGTAGTGGACGCTCTTGGTTCAGTGTCGTCTGGGCCACTTCTCTGTTATGGGTTTTGCTCTGAACTGTAATGGGGCCATGGTTCAGGGTGAAATCTGGAGCAGATATGTGGCTAGTTAGTTCAGGTTGAAATCTGGAGAAGATTTGTGGCCAGCTGGCATTGAAGTACCAGCTTTCTCTCAATAGGGGAGGGGGGACTTTTCAAGGGGGGGTTGGTGATGCAGCGTTGTAGGGGAGTGAAGCTTTCCCTCCTCCGCTCCCTCCTCAACAGGAACCCCAACCTGGAAATGCTGCCCTCCCATGCAAAGGGACGGTGAGGTTGTCAGACTGGGGCTGGGTTCAAGTCCTCGCTCAACCTGCATCTCGCCTGCACGGGTGACTGAGCCAGTTGCTCACTTGCAGCCTAACCTACCTCACAGCGCTGTTGCGAGGATAAAATGAAGATGAGATTAATTCTATAAGTTGCCTTGAATTCCCTGATAGAAGGTTGGATATAACTATAATTAATACTTTTAGTATTAATTTAGTGTTAATTAGTATTAATACTAATAATTATTAATACAAATAGTTATATTGGTGGTGAACATACCTTGCATTAGCAGCCTAAGTACCCTGTAGTTTGGGGAGTGGGGAAATAGGCCATGATGGAAGCTAGTGGGATCCCCCTGGCCGTAACGTCCTGGTCTTGTGTGTGCGTCCCCCCCCCCCCATTTATTTAGACTGACTCTTGTTGCAGCTGTTTTTGTTGAGTG